GAATTAAACCCTTTTAGGTACATTTTGATCCAAGGACACCTAAAACTCCCTCATTCTGAAGTCAATCAGATTTGAAAGACAGACAAGTAGGAGGGATTCCACCAGTCACTCATAGTCAAACTGGCTTATGCAAAGAATAGTGGGCTATAATTTTTTCAATAAATAAATTCATTTGTTCAAACTGGGGCTCATTTGGGTATCCCAAAGAAGAGAGCTGAATTACAGGTAGTCAAATAGCTAGAAAAATCTACTGAAAATTTTGTCAACTCAGAAAAAATAATTCATCCTCAAAACCACAAATAACTCTGACATCTAGAAAACAAAATAATGTACGATTATATACAATTTTCATTCTTTAAATTGTGCAGCTTCAATATTAAAATAGTACCTAAAATTCTGTTTTTATAATAAATCCACTCTTGTTTTGATAAAAGTATATAATAAAATGGAGGTTAATTACATTTTTGTCTTTCCACAACCATTATAATATCAAATTATTAACCCACACAAAGGTATTGATCTCTGTAGTATATTCATTCTTTCCCATTAAATTCACAGCAGTCGCCTCTTTTGCAAAGAGCAGTTACTCTAATCAGAAAATTAGAAAAAGCAATATGCACAAATTAAATTGCACACCAGAAGTCACTCCAATCTATATTGTTATAAATAATATTTTAGCTGATTACTATGACCAACTGGACTCAAGTCTTAGAGATGTATGTCTAAAAGTAAACCAACCACTGAATGAACTCCATTTACATGACAAACACAACAGAAAGCCAGGTGAAATCAGAGTTTTTCAACTTTGTTATTGAGTCACAAAGCTAAGGACTAACACAGTATTTAACTGCTACATTCTGGATTTATCTATTATATTTTAGAAGAAAAAAATCAAAACAAAATCTAGAATCATAGCAAAGTAGAACTGAAACAATCTTAGGAACTCTATACCTTTACTGAAGAGGAGGCCTACCGTGTGATTTTTCTAGTCTTATATCTGCCTGGTAGAAGAATCCAAACCAGACTCAGATCTCCTGCTGCCCAGTCCTTTATGCTGTACCAACCTGTCTCCCAATGTAAATATAATTTTATATCATACATAAACTAGAAAAGAACTAAAGATACTTGAAGTATATTCTGTCCCCTCTCAAGGACATTCTTTTAAAATAAGATACTGAAACTAATAAGAAAGAAAGGGAAGGAGGAATCAAATGTTTTCATTTTCAGAAACCTATGAATTTTACTATTATACTTTCTGCTTAGCTTTCCCTATATAAATTTATCACAACAGGAGAAGCTTTGAACCATTATGATTTCCTCCTCAAGTCAGATATTAAAAGGTAAAACTGGAACTGACAGGACTATTAAAACATGACAGTAAGTTTAAGTCTTCTAATCTGACAGTTCAGATCATTTCTCATTTTACCAGAGTCACAGAAAACTTTTCAACTACAAAGTCAAACTGCTATATCCTTGAAACTAGAGCTGATTTTTAAACTTACTATAATTGAAATTCTCCTAATAACTGCTGTTCAATTTAAAAGCACAGCATATTGTATCTCTAGTACAGGTTGTACAGATGAGAAACTGTCAGAAATAAATAAGGTAATATACGTGCAAGTATTCTGCAAATGTGAAATTGTTATGTCACATGGAAGACACTGTATTTTTAAAAAATTGTTTGTAATTATATTGCTGATGAGAAATGAAACACACAATTAGATGCAATTTCTTTAAAACAAGAAGAAGATAATGTCAGGTATCACTGTTTCATTTTATTTATTTTAAAAAAATTTGGGGGAGGGTACATGGGGATCAAACTCAGGACCTTGCACTTAGTGAGGCAGGCAGTGGAACCACTGAGCTAAATCCCAGGCCCTATTGTTTCATTTTATAGTAAACTAGAGGTTGTAGTCATTGTAGAAGACAAGGGGGAAAAAAGAATTTTTAAAGAGTAAGCAGAATTTTCTGTATTTAAAGAATATGTGACAATGTGGTTGGTAATAATACCATGGTATCTTTAATGTTTGGTTCTTTGCACGGTATCCAGGATGGAAATTCTGATGTATTTCTGAATGTGAGGTATACTACTGGATGTTAGTCTATGAATAAAAATGTTAGAACAGATAGATTACACTCAGGGGACTTATGGTTATACATAAGTAATTTTTAAGGATTATGATAAGAATCAAAAAATTTAAAAAACTATGGATCAAATTGGATTTCAAGAGCAAAGAAAAGTAAACACAGAAGCTTAAGAATATTTAGTCCTAAATTACTTATATACATATGCAGCCACTTGTGAATTATCATGATTAGCTGAAAGTACACTAAATGCTAGGGGAAAAAAAGACTTCCTGGCATGAACACTAGGCTACTAAAAAAAAAAAATAAAAAGGAGATTAAGGCCAGGAGTGGTGGCACATGCCTGTAATCCTAGCACTCAGGAGGCTGAGGCAGGAGGATCACTGTGAGTTTAAGACCAGCCTGGGCTACATAGTGAGTTCCAGGTCAGTTTCAACTACACAGTAAGACTCTGTCTCAAAATAAAAAAAAAAAAAAGAGAGAGAGAGAGATTAAGAGGAGAAGGAACCAGGCATAGCTGCATACACCTGTAATCCCAGGCAGGAGAGTCTGTGGCCAGCCTCTAGACTACATAGTGAGTTCAAGGCCAATCTGAACTATATAACAAGATCCTGTCTCAAAAAAACAACAAACAAACAAACAAAAGAGGAAAAGGTAGGGTCGGGGATGTGACTCAGTGCTTCTGCTGCCTGCCTGGCAAGTGCAAGAGCCCAAGTTTGATACCTGACACCCCCACAAAAAAAAAAAAAAGAGAGGAAAAGGAACTGAGGGGGATCATAAACCAAGTGGTCTATCTGGTAGGATACCAGCAAAGTTTGATTTCTCCAACATTTGCTGATATGTACATCTCTGTTCACTTTCATTATCAATGATTGTGGTATATAATATATAATATATATAATATATATATATTTGTACAATATGAAGAGCCTTTACTTTCATTTACTATCTTGAATATGATTCTGTCTGTATTCATATTCACAAACTTCAGTGCAATGTAAGTTAATGTCAACAATGAAATATCCTAAATCTACATTTGTATAATACTCTTCACTCATAGAAAGCTCTAAAATTGTCTAAACATGTTATAAAATGTATACTGATAATCTAAAATGACTATATGAGCTGTGTGAATGTACTAATGACTGTTTTCTAGATCTAATGAACTAAAGGTTGGGTTATTACCTATATCACCAAAGCAAAGGCTACCAACTATGTGAAGGTGCTAATCATTTTCATTGTATCTTGGGACTATAAATGTTTCAGATGTTTCTCTCTAAATATTACATAATGAAGCAAATACTATTTTTACTACAATGAAGCAAAAGAGTAAATCAGAGCCTGCAAGAACATGGAACCATCTGTTTTAGTCATATGAAGAAAGTATCAATCAGAGGAAAAGTCACTGATTGGATGAAAATACACTGTTAGGGGAAAAAAAATGTTCCATATGCCATAAGCCAGATCCCCTTCTAAAAACACAAAAGCTATATAATTTTTCCAATTTTTATATACAAACCAGAAACTAGCTCATAGAATTTCAAAAGTAGTAGGAAAAATGCTAACAATTACTTTTACCTTTTACAAGCATATAATGAATAGAATATATATTTTTGTAGTGTCCACTGGTTTTTGGTATTTTTTAAATTAGATGATGTATTATTTTCCAGCAATTAGTATACTCTTAGATTTTAACTTAGATGTATATTTGCAACCCTATTTGATACATCTATATAAAAATAGATTTTTCTGTTGTTTTTTTTTTTTTTTTAATCTGCAGCGCTGGGCATAGAATCTAGGGCCACATGCATCCTAGGCAAGTTACTCCACCAATGAGCTACACCCTCAGACTCTCCAAAATAGATTTCTGACTAGTGTAAATTTATAATACTTCAAAATATTTAGACCAAAAACTAAAGCAGAAAGGGGGGAAAAAAAGACAGGAGTGGGAAGAGGGCAAAACCACCAACACGTAAGAAGGATTTTAATGAAAGATGTGTCATTTGCAAAATTAAACAAAATCTATTTGATTTGCATATTGTAGGCGAGTGCTTTTATGAGTCCCTTCAAAAATAGTAAATATAAAATGAAATATATTTGTGGTTATACTTCAGCCAACCTACTGGTTTACTACTTGTTGAAAGACTAAATTTGATTATTCAGGTAGTAATTCTCTAGCTTACAAATCAGCCATGGTGTTTGCTTTTTGTCTCTATATTACCAGATTTTTGTGTAGTTCACTATTCATTAACAATCTCTACTGGAATGGAAAGTGAGAACAACATAAGTACAGCTACAACATTCATTTTGCATTTTGGGTACAACCTTGAGAATTTAATAACTTGCTGGCTATCCTGTACTGACAATCTTTTTTATTCACACAGAGCACACACACTGAAAATTGGGAGGCAGTTATTTTTTCCTTCCAGGTCTATTAATAATGAAGGAGAAGAAAGACTTCAAAATGAGATATAAAAACTACACAGAGATCTATAATGCGACTTAACTCAGAGTATATTAACAATATCACGGAACTTACTGGTATTCAACAGCAGGCCTCACACTGATTCTCACACTTGCCTATTGTCAAAAACCAAGACAAATGCCACATTATGTTGTGCGAAGGGCAGACTCATCTATGATTCCTCTGAGACTTTACAGCATGGTTGGAGAGGACATTCTGTTTCTTTCCTGTTAGCAGGAGAGCCAAACTGACGCTTCTTTAGAACACGCAGGCAAAAAATCAGCTTCCAGGATGAGTATTGAGGAACTGAAAGTGTATATGTAAACCAGAGAATATGGGATAGTACAAATGAGACATGAAGACAGAAAAAAAAATCTAAAAATCTTTAAGATGAATTCCGAAAATATAGCCCTGTAAAATATGTTAGTAATAGCAAGGGGGAAGGCCTTACCTTGCAAATCTTGTAAAGTGATTCCTGACCATCTCCTCCTGTGTCTTTGAAGTAATCATGTGCAGGAAATGTACGATGAATATCTCGTGTAATAACACTTTCCTGGGCTGAGTCCTAAGAGGATAAAAAAAAAATCCAAGACTTCATTATTAATGCAAAATTTCATTTCAATTATTAAAAAAACCAGATACACATAGTAAAGTTCAAGCAGCAACCATAAGTCAATTAAAAAACTTTCCCTTCTGTTTTACTCTGACAATTGTATTCCCATGCTACCAACAATTTTTTTAATGTCCATTCATCCACCTATTTATAGATGTATGCTAAGTAAGGAGCAGGGAGGGAGAAAATTTGTATATATGCATTTCCCTAGAAACAAAACTATCCCTTTTTATGTAACAGGATAAGCTATCAAATCTTAAGTCATGCAAATTATTTTATTTTCTTCAGAAGCAGTTATTAAAAAGAATAAGTATCTGAACACAGACATGATAATTTAACATTCTCCTACTTAATGACTTCGCATTTTAAAATTATATAACAAATAATATCCTAAGAAACATTATATATGTATAGACACGTGTGTGTGTGTGTGTTTGTGTTTGTGTGTGTGTGTGTGTGTGTCTTGCAAATGTGTATATGTGTTCAAGGGTAGACTCCTACAGGTTGAACCGCTAGGTCAAAGGGCATATGCATTTTTGGTTTTTTGTTTGTTTGTTTGCTTGTTTTTTGGTACCAGGGATTGAGCTAAATCCCCAGCCCTGCATTTTCAGTTTTGATAAAGATAGTCTCCTTCCAGAGTTATACCAAAGTATACTCCAGACAACAGTAGAATAAGTTCTGTTTAAATACTATCATATATTTTTAAATTTTTAAGTCCTTAAGAATGCAATAATTGAAACCTCATGTCAAAGTCATTTAAAATGGAAGGTGTAAAATGTAAAAATTATCTGTCTTCCTCGCCCCAAACTAGGTTAGTTACTCAACTCACTCAAAAAACAAAAACCCAGCACCTGGGGATTTAGCTCATTGGTTCTGCTGCCGGCCTCACAAGTGCAAGGTCCTGAGTTTGATCCCCAGTACCAAAAAGCAAAAGCCTACAAGATACTATATTAAGATGACACATCCTTTAAACATAAATCCAAAGTGTGTTTTCTTTCTTTTTTTTTTACAGATTCAGGAACCAAAAGCTCAAAATTAAGTAAAATTCTAAGCATTATTAAAAACAATTATTCAGTTGATTTCATTATTTCTGGAAATATTTGCTGTATGTGTACTTAAATATGAAGAAAATAGGATGGGATTACTCTGAGCAACCCTGATGATGAAAATAATTTGCACAAAGCAGCACCAAAGACTACTAGTTGCAAATTAAGGATATTGTTTAATGTTTTACTTCCATATAGATTCAAACAAATTCCCTCTTTTGGCCTCAAATTAAGAAAGAAAGAAAAAGTTTAAAATATGAGTTATTCTGTGAATGCTATTTCCCTTTCTCTTCACAGCTGAGAAGAATGCAAGAAGTGGGGAGTTGACTAGCTCATGGTTAACCCAGTACCATTTCTTGCTGCCTTTTTCATTTTGATTGCTATTTCATGCTGGGTAGTAACATCATTCTTATAAAGAAATGAAGCAAACTAAAAGTTCCAAATTTGCTAGCAAACACAGAACATATGACAAATCAGTCTAGAAGAAATTTTGATGCCTTAATCCTAAAACTGAATGAAGATGGAAAAAATGCAGAACAAATGCAATTCTCCATTATGTACTATAAACATGTGCCAATAAAAACAAAAATTAACAAAAAAGTTCACCATAGCTTAAGTAAAAGGATATATATACAGAAAACATTTCCATTGCATAAAAAACCAAACACATATAAAAATACTATAAATAAACTATTTTTACTTTTACACTTGCTCTAACATGATTTTTTAAGTTAAATTTAATTTATTAGTACATTCTAGGTATACATTGCAGTTACATTCATTACTGGGATCTTGTACCCTTTACATGTCAGGTCTTGGTTCTCATTTTTTCCCCTTACCCCTGCCCTCCCTTCACCCCCTCCACCCCTCCCCACCTACAAACACTTTAATTCCATTTTTATATTTTCTCACATTTTTTGCCCTTTCCCTTATTCCCCTTCCCCTACCCTTCTCACTGTCACTACACCTTTAGCCCTTTTCTTCCTATTTCACATTGCTAATTATCTCATTAGGATCTTGAGTACTATTTTAGTTTTTCACACCAGAGAAACTATTCGGTATTTGCACATGTGTGGCTTATTCTAACATGTTAAGGTGAACACGTGAGCTGCTTCTACAATTTGTTCTCATCTACAAATGTTCCTAATGCGAGGTCCGTTGGTTATCGGTGCAAGTTTGCAACTGGAATGTTCCATAAGTCAGGAATTTCCTGTGTTCATCCTATAGAACTGTACCTCTGTACGCATTAACCATACCCTCACACTCATCCTCACACTCACCCTCCCCAGCTTCTGGTAACCACCCTATTACTTTGAGATCAACCTTACAGCTTCCATATATAATTGAGAACATGCCATATTTATCTTCCTGTGCTTGACTGATTTAACTTAACATGATGTTCTCTAGGCTCATGCTTGTACATCAAATGACAGGATTTCATTTTTATGGGTGAAAAGCATCCCATTATACAAATATGAGGATATCATATTACCTTCATCCATCAGTTTGCTTAAGGACATTTAGGTTGCTATTGCTGATACTGCTACAATAAGCCTAGGAGTGCAATTATCTACTCAACATACTGACTTCCTTTCTTTTAAAAATATACCCAGTAGAGGAATGTCCGAATCACATTACAGTTCTGTTTCTGGTTTGGGGGTTTTGGGTTTTTTGGGTTTTTTTTTAGGAATCTCCACATTGTTTTAAAATGGCTATATTAATTTGCATTTCCACCAGTGGTGTCTGAGAGCTCCCTTTCTCAGGTTTATGTTTAAATGCTTTCCACACACGTGTATTTCTAAAGTTTTCTTCTTCTGGTCTCCCTAAATTGGCTAACAGAGTAATTTCTGGAATTTCACTTTATAGACTAAGTAAGCTATTTTGCTATACTTTCACTCATCAATCTCCACGTTAGAGGAGGTCAAGAGGTAGACTCTTACAAGCCAAATAATGGGAATAAAATTGTGTACTGGCCTACTAAAAGCCAAAGAAAATAATCATGTTTGCAAAGTGAAAACTAGAATTGATCTACCTTCCCAATTAGCCATAATAGTTGAGACTAGGAAGACTGTATACTTATGAGATCCATACCTAACTCCACATTCACTTACCCACTTATTCAACAAATAGTTAAGTCAGCAAAACTAACACTCTGATAGGACAAAGTAATTTTTCTCTTCAATATTAATTCCTAAGATTTGTTTTGATAATAGTAATCAATTTTTACAAGAAATAAAATGAACTCAGAGGAAGGACAAGAGAAGATAAACAATTCATCATTTAAGTATCTAAAATTAAAGTTTCATGTGGAAACATTTTATTTTTATATGACTAAAAGCCTTTTCACAGCACGATCAAAACTGATATGAGGTCATTTTTATGTAAGGCTCCCTTCAGTCTCTCTCTAATCCTGTCAACTGTCTTCACCCTGAGAAGAGAGAAGTCTTTCCTTCACAGACATCTACATCTTCTCCAATATTCACACTCATGATCTGACCCACAATTTACTTCCTGTAGATATATCTCCCATTCTGTTGCTCAGATCCTATACGGGGGTTAACAAACTTACTGATTCCATTTCTGCTTTCCTCATTTAATGCCTATCAGATCTTGGACAGATTGTTTATCTTGCTGAACTTTAGTTTCTTTATCTGTAAAATAGAATTACCTAATGTATCATTTTACTTAGGATAAAATAATATATGTAAAGTGTTTAGCAAATCGCTTAGTATAAATTGAACATTCGTTATTTAACATTTTTGGTGAATACACATTTCAGACATTCTTCTGTGTTTAAATAACAAACTATTTCTTTGAATATTAAACACATGATTATGAAACCAATTCTCCTAGGATTTAAAATATGATAGTATGACCCTAATTTCCTTCATATAATGTACCCTAAATTATCTTTATTTCTATTAATTTACTATTTAACACAAAGGTGGCAATTGTTTTAAAAAGGTACTGTTTTTATCAGCTGGTACCCACTCAGGTCCCAGCTTGCATATAACCCAAGAAATAGAGAAAGATGTACACATATATACTCAGAAAAATGATGCGCATGACAGGGTAAGATAGAAGTAAATTTGCTAAAGCAGTTGCCTTTTCCATCACTACTCTAGAATTTAGCATCAAGGCATCAGAGTAGGGTTGAAGATTCTCCTGATTATGAAAACAATGAATGCCACTGTCATAATTGCATGCCTCCTTTCTGGATCATTATCACAAACAAGTAGGCACAATTTCTGAGATCATCCTTTGTCTTGCCTTGGCCAGGCTGGCCATACATAAAAATTGATTTTGGACCACAAAGTAATTAAAGGTTTGTAATAAACTCTGAAAAGTTAAATTTTATCCCCATACCCCTGATGTTATCACCACACAGAAATGAAATCTACCTTCCAAAGATTCTCTTTAATTTCCAAAACATTGTCATAAGACTAAACATATCTGGAAAACAATTTCTCAAGTGGATAAAATCTATTCTCCAACAAAGAACATATTTCATCTTGTTGAAGGTCATTTGAAAATCAACTCTAATAGGTACAGTAATGAGCTTGATTAACTTTTGATAATTTTTCAGTGGGGTCAATATCAAGCCTGCTATCAAGAGTATTACACAAGCTATTTATCCACTGTGACTTACATAACCTTGACATATTTGAAGTCCTCTTAATTCTTACCAGAAAAGAATCATCACTTGCTTGTTGTGAAAAAGAAATGAATGCAACATTCAAGTGTCAACAAGTATTAGGAAGACAGATTTGGGAGGCACTTCATTTTATTTTTTATGAAGCCATTTTTGAGCTGTCAAGAACTAGAAAAGTATTTTAGTGAGGATGTGTATTTTCATATGTAATCTTAGCAGAAATAAAAGAGTAATAACCTGAAAAATAAATACTG